TGGGGTAAGACTGAGAAAAACTGGATGAAATATGTTTATGGCATTGAAGTCTTTGGGGGAGAGAATATTTTATATTTTAGGGCATTATGTTTATCGTAAGAGTATGGAATGAGGGTTGTAGAGTGGATTATATTCGGGGTTGGGGTACGTGTGTGGGGGATTGTGTACCAATGAGGGAGTTTTTCTTTTGCGTTTGAAGGAGAGGAGCAAAAGGGGTGGGGGTGGGGAGAGGGGTGCAACAATATATGAATGGAATTCCAAAATCTAAAAAAAAAAAAAATGCACAAAAAAACCCACAAAACACTGAAAGCAAGGTAGCTAAGATATCCTTACCTTCGTTAAGAGTTCTCTGTTTACTTTGAAATTCACGGTTCCATGACCAGTGCTGATTTCACTCACTACTGTATCACATTTCAGCTGAAAAAATAAGAAATCAAATTATAAGTTAAAGTACAAAATTTGCCTAAGGGGATACAGACTGACAGACCAATTGCAGCAATAGAGGTGAGCATGCTGGAAGTCTTAAAGGTGGCCCAGGACATAGCAAGGTTTCAAGCTATCGTTCATAGGATTGTTAGGAGTTGCAGTCAGCATAATGGTACCTAACAATAAGATAATGAGGACATAGCAAGGTTACAATCTATCATTCATAGGATTGTTAGGAGTTACAGTCAGCATAATGGTATCTAACAAGATAATGAATGTAATTGTAATATTTTAAAAACAGCTTACAAAGGCAGCAGGTGAATCACTGTATATGTATGTAGACTCTATTTTGTGTATGTATTTAATGTTTAGGTCATGAGTCTATTCTTTTTTAATGAAAGTTTATAGACTTTGGATTTCAATTCATACTTTGTTGCATTTTTCTCCCTGACTACCCCTAGTTCGCTAATCTCCTTGAAAAGGAAAAGAAAAATCCTTTGTTTCCATTATTTCATTATGCAACCTTTATTCTGGACAATATTCATGACAATAATACCTAATCATATATCCCTTTTAAAAAGTTCTCTGCCTCATATGTTTCAATGCAGTATACATTATTTATCCCATTTTTCTCAGTCTCCCCCCTCAACCCTGATGTCAGTCCCATTTTACAACAGTGGCACTATGTAATATTTGCCCTTCTGTGATTGAGATATTTCACTCAGCATAATGTCCTCCAAGGTCATCCATTTTGTATTTCCTAAGTTCTTTGTTTTTCAATGTAGCATAGTATTCCATTGTGTGAATATACCAGAGCTTCTCTATCCATTAGTTTGTCAATGGGCACTTAGGTTTTTTGCAAATCTTTGCTATTGTGAACAGACACTCAATAAAAATGGGTGTGCATATATCTGCTTGGGTGACAGTTATGGTAGAGGAAATTGCTGGGTCAAATGGTATTTCTTTTGCAATTTTTGAGAAAGCCCCATACAACCTTCCACAGTGGTTACACCATTTTACATTCTCATCAACAGTGGATAAGAGTTCGTTTCTCCAATACCTCGCCAGCTTTTGTTGTTTGCTGTTCTGTTAAATTTTGCTTATTCTTACTGTAATGAGATGATATCTCATAGTTCTTTTGATTTGCATTCATCTTAGAGCTAGGGATTTTGATCATTTCTTCATGTGTTTATTTGTGCTATGAACGTCTTCTTTGGTGAAGTGTCTGTTCATATCCTGTGCCCATTTTTCAACTGGGTTATTTACCTTTATCTTATTGTGGTACTTGAGTATTTTATAAATGCTAGATGTAAGTCCCTTATCTGACATGTCATTACCAAATATTTTTTCCAGTCTGTGGAAATATTTTTTTCCAGTCTGTGGCTTCCCTTTTTCACCCTGTTGGAGAAGTTTTTAGATGTGTATAGGGATTTGATTCTTAAAGGGTCCCATTCATCTATTTTATTCTCTCCTGGTTGTCGATTTTTCAGGATACTTCAAAGACTCTCTATGTTATGGATTAGGCCTTCTAGAGTTCTTCTAAGATTTTCTTTAACGAAATTTACACTCCCTCATTTTAGTCCTAGGCCCAGGATCCATTTCGACTTGTTTTTTCTGAAGTGCGGATCTTCCTTGAGTTTTCGACAGATGGTTTTCCAATTATGCCAGCACCATTTGTTAAAAAGGCTGTTGTTTACCCACTTAACTGGTTTCATCTTTGTCAAAAATTAATTGGCCATAAATAAATGGGCTGACTTCTGGATTCTCTATACTATTCCATTGATCTATGTGTCTGTCATTGGACCAGTATCATGCTGTGTTGAAGACCACAGCATTGTAGCAGGATTTGAAATCAGGGAGTGAGATGTCTCCTATCTTGTTTCTATTTTTAAGGAGTGCTTAGTTTACTCAGGGCTTCTTTCCATTCCAAATGAAATTGGAAATTGCTTTTTCCATCTTGTTGAAGAATGGAATTGGTATTTGTATTAGGATTGCATTATACATGTAAATTGCCTTTGGTAGTACTATCATTTACTGTCTTCTATTCATGAACAAGGGATATTCTTCCACTTCTCCAGGTCTCTTTTTTCTTGTAGTAATGTTTTGTAATTTTCTTTGAATAGATCTTTTGTGCTTCTCATTAGATTTACTCCCAAGTATTTAATCCTGTGATTAGCTATTGTGAAGGGTATTATTTTTCTTAGCTCCAGTTGTGTATTTTCATTGTCACTGCAAAGAAATCCAACTGATTTTTGTATGCTGATCTTGTATCCTGCCACTTTGCTGAACTGGTCCATTTTGTCCAGTAGTATTCTTGCCGAGTCTTTAGGGTGTTCTAAGTATATAGTCATATCTTCTGCATAGAAAGATAATTTTTCCTGCTCTTTGCTAATATGGATACTTCTTATTTCCTTCTCTTGCCTTATTGCTATCACTAAGACCTCCAATACCATATTGAATAGGAGAGGTCAGAGTGGGCATTCTTGCTTAGTTCCTGTTCTTAAAGGGAATGCCTTTAACCTCTCTCCATTGAGAATGATGTTGGCTCTTGGGTTTGCATATATACTTTTTACCATGTTGAAGAAATTACCCTCGAATCCTATTTTGTTGAGTGTTTTAATCAGAGAAGGGTGTTAGATTTTGTCAAAGGCCTTTTCTGCATCAATTGATAGGATCAAGTGCTTCTGGTTCTTTGCTTTGTAAATATGATGAATTACATTGTTTTTCTTATGTTGAACCATCCTTGCATACCTGATATGATTCTCTCTTGATCATGGTGAATTTTTTTTTTTAAATGTATCGTTGAATTCTATTTGCCAAGATTCTATTCAGGATTTTTGCATCTATGTTCTTGAGAAAGATTGGCCTATAGTTTTCTATTTTGGTAGTGTCTTTACCTGGGTTTGTATCCAGGATATATTTGCTTCATAGAATGAGTCTGGGAGAACTCCATTTTTTTCCATTTTCTGAAATAGTTTATGTAGAATTGGTGACAGACCTTCTCTGAATGTTTGACAAAATTCGCTTGTAAAACCATGTGGTCAAGGGCTTTTTTTGGCTGGCAGTTGTACTGCCTTTTCAATTTCTTGCTTTGTAATGGGTCTGTTGAGGTGATCAATTCTGGTTTGTGTCAGTTTAGGTAAGTTGTGCATTTCTAATTGTCTAGCTCTTCTAGGTTTTCGTATTTGTTTTGAGTGGAGTTTTTCATAATATTCCACTGTTAGTCTTTTTATTTTACTTGGTTCTGTTGTGATGTTGCTCGTTTCATCTTTAATTCTGATTATTTTCCTTCGTTAGTTGTGCTAGTGCTTTGTCAATTTTACTGATCTTTAAAACAACAAACTGTTAAATTTTGTTGATGGTTCCAAGTGTTTTTCTGTTTTCTATTTCATTTATTTCTGCCCTAATTTTTATAATCTCAGTTTTTTTAGAGGGTGTTGAGTTTTCTTGCTGTTCTTTTTCAATTTGTTGGAGATGTTGGATTAAAGTCATCTTTTCCTGATTTTGCTTATGGCTAAAAATTGACCTTTGATTACTGTTTTAGCTGTTTCCCAGAGGTTTTGGTATGTGGTGTTTTCGTTGTCCTTTGTTTCAAGAAACTTTTTCCCATTTTTTTATTTCTTGTACGCAATCATGTTCAAGTAAGGTGTTGTTCAACGACCAAATATATGGGGTTTTTATTCTCCTTTATCCTCTTGTTATTAATTTCTAATATTGTAGCATTGTAATCTGAGAAGACGCTCTACATTATTACTATGTTTTTAAATTCATTAATTCTTGCCTTGTGGCCCCAGATGTGATCTATTCTGGAGAACATTCAATGCACACTGGAGAAGAAGGTATACTGTGATTTTTTTTTGGGGGGGGGGGTGCATTAGCCTATAAATATCTATGAGATAAAGATGTTTTATTGTGTGGTTTAAATCTTCAGTATCTCTGTTGAGTTTCTTTCTGGTAGTTCTACCTTTTCTTGAGAGTGGTATATTGAAGTCTCTAACTACTATAGTATTGTTGTCTAGTTCCTTTTTCAGTTTTGCTAACATTTGTTTTATATATTTTGTAGGTCTATCATTTGGTGCATAGATATTATTTTTATGTCCTCATTTTCTATTGCCCCTTTAAGCATTATGTAGTGATTTTTCTTGTACTTTGTGATGTTTTTTGTATTAAAATTTATTTTATCAGAGATTAATATGGCAACTCCTGCTTTTTTTCTGCTTGCAATTTGCGTGGTATATTTCCCCCCCACCTTTTTAGTTTTAGTCTTTATCTTCACATTTCAGGTGTTTTTCTTTTAGACAGCATATTGACGGATTTTTTTTATCCAATCTGCTACTCCTTTTTCTTCAATGGTGCATTTAAACCACTTACATTCAGTGTGATTATTGAGAGGCATGGCCTTATTGCTATCACTGTGTTGAGTTCTTTTAGGTGTTGTTGCTAGATACTTTGGTCCGTCCTGTTTTTTGTGGTCCCTCTGTAAGAAGGAAGTCTCTCAGTGTTTACTGCAATGCTGGTCTTGTTTTTACAAACTCTTTTAGGTTCTGTTTTTCTGGGCATATCTTGATCTCTCCTTCATATTTGATGGAAAGTTTCTCTGGGTACAATATTCTTGATTGACAGTTGTGTTCTTTGAGTATTCAATATATATCATTCTACTGTCTTCTTGCTCACATGGTTTCTTCTGAATAACTGTCACTTAGTCTTATCTGCTCTTCCTTACGGGTTCCTCTTTGTTTCTCCCTTGTTGCTTTCAGAATTCCCTCATCTTTGGTTCTGGCGAATTTGACTATGATATGCCTTGGTGTGTTTCTTTTGGGGTCTATTTTTTTGATGGTGTTCACTCAGCTTCTTGGATATATATTCTCTTATTTTTCATTATGCTTGGGAAGTTTTCTTCCACAACTTTTTCGGTGCCATTACTTGCTTCTTCCTGTTCTGGGATTCCAATGACATGTATTTTTTCTTTAGATGGTGTCCCACATTATTCT